TCGAATTTTTGAATTAAAAGATATACAAAGGGAAACGTAGAAGAGGAAAAACACATATAAATACGTGATTACAGCTCTGTAACGTGAGTGAAATGACAGCAACTCGGTCTGAGTGACTCAGCTAGCGGGCAGCACCAAGCAGGGTTGACATACGCGCGCGTGGGCGTTATCTTGTAAATAACCAGGTCAGTAAGCAAATAAAATTATGCTCTTTTTAACGATCGAGTTCTATGGAGTCCCTTACAGAAATAGCCGAAACAAAGCTACAAAAGGAATAGTTGCTTTTGAGCAGACTTATGAGTCAGTGGCGCCACATGTTGAAAGATTTCACGTCTGGAGAGTAAACCTTGTTCTACGCCTAGGTTTGATAAAAAGTATGATGTATCACAACGCAGTCGAAGTTCTGCAGCATAACTGAAATTCTTACGTTGGGCAAATTGAATGGAGACAATTAAGAACATGCATAAGCATGTATAGAAAACTTGTATAAGCAAAATTAAGTTCCGAAAGTCCGCATTCGGCAAGGGTTTAGTGTATGTTAGCAAATGTACAGTTAGTCAATAAAGTCTGCGTACATCAAGAAAGTAATATCAAATCCAAATTTTAAGGTGCAAAAGGGTAGTTTCTTAAAGTTTTATTTTTTAAATATTTAGTTTCAATAAGGGACTTTGAAATTATTTAACTGTAATATTTTCATATCTAATAATTTATACACACTAATTTTTAAAAGATAAGTGGCCAGAAATCAAAGCCAATAAAGTTTGCGTACAACGCGAAAGAGGCGGAGGATTTCTTATCTAACTTTTAAACTTCAAACTTGAGAATGCAAAGAAGGTTACACTTTCAAGGTCATTGATTTTCCGAAGCAAATTTCATGATTGGAAGTTGCTATTTCTATTTTCTTTGACGAAAATGACAACCAATAAAGAAATTCCTTTAGTTACGAGACAACTAATTATCAAATTGAGAGATGAAGGTAAAACTCTTCGGTATATTGGTAAAACCATTGTAAAACCATTTTCTAGTGTGCAAAGAGTTACTCGAAACTATCTTGACACTGGTAGTCTTGCTGTAAAACCAAGATGTGGGAGACCGAAGAAGCTAATGCAGAGAGAAGAAAGAAAAATTCTTTTACGAATTAAACAAAATCCTAAACTTTCTGCTGCAAGCATTGCAAAAGACATTTTTTTAACTAGCAACAAGGAAATTTCTCCTGAAACTGTACGAAAAGTGCTGCGAAAGTCCGAGTATCATGGACGCAAACCTAGGTCTAAGCCATACATTTCCGAGACAAATAGAAAGAAAAGAATTACTTTTTCCGAAACATATTTAAACTCTTCTCAGGACTTCTGGAACAATGTAATTTGGTCAGATGAAAGTAAATTTACAGTATTTAAAGTTAATGGCCACCCTATTGTATGGAGAAAACCAGGAACAGAACTGAATGTGAGAAATTTAAATCCAACTGTCAAACATGGAGTTGGCGGATGGTATGGGGGTGTATGTCGTCGAAAGGAGTTGGAAATTTTCATATTATTGATAAAGTCATGGATAAGTATGTTTATCTGGATATTCTGAAGAAAAATCTACGAGACAGTGCCCGAAATTTAAACTTTTCTAATACCTTTATTTTCCAACAAGACAACGACCCGAAACATACAGCTAAAATTGTGAAGGAATATCTCCTCTATCACACTCCAAAACAGTTGCGTACTCCTCCACAGTCACCAGACCTCAATCCAATCGAACATTTGTGGGCAAAATTGGAGAAACGAATTCGAAAACACAATATTACGTCCCGAAATAAGCTAATTAGTAAATTGCAGGAAGAATGGGCGAAATTTACGTCGGATGACACTGAAAAACTAGTTCAGCCAATGCCCAGACGTCTGCAAGCTGTTTTGAAGAATGAAGGATATCCTACAAAGTATTGAAGTAATGTAAAAAACTTATATTTTGCTTTTTTTTAAAGTGTAGCAGACTTGGAGGGAATTTCTGAGTTTTTTTTGACAAAATATATTTTTGAAAAAATGTAAAAAGTATTACACTGATATTATTTACTTTTTATTTAAGCTTACAATTTTAGCTAATAGGAGAAAAAAAATGCAATGATTAAAATACATTTTTCTATGCTTTAAGTGTTTTTTTAATTTAAAATTTAGTCTGTACGTAGACTTTTGTGACTAACTGTACATTTATTGCTTTGGTCAACGAGATGTAAGCGGCTAAGCTTTTTTATCCATTTCTGCTTTAATTTGTTTAGTAAAATAACTCCACTATATTTTCCATTCGTCTCACAACTTCAGCTAATATTTTAAGTAAGTTAAATGAAGAAGTACTATTTTTTATAAAAAAAAAAGTGTTCATTAAATAATAAAAAAATCAGTACAAAAGCCAAAATATAAATATAATACAAAAGCCAAAAGGCAATAAAAAAAAAGATAAGCTAGAACTGCAAACAGTACACAGTGATTTAATATAATTTTTAGAAACCAATAATTGCATCACTTCATTACCCACACACAGTAGGCTAATCACCTTGTTCCAGAAAAATATAATTCAACAGAATAATGGGCAGTTTTAGTTCAAGTAACAGGAAGTATAGGAAAGACAATAAGTAAATGTTTAAGGAATACAAGTTCGAGATTTTGTCATAGTAATTGATATAATTAATAAAAAACTTTTGAAAAATAATTTTCCTAAATATTACTTTCCTAAATATGTACTAATATTTACTGAAAAATCTTTAACAATTTCTCAGAATAAAACTCAATTTTTAAATGATCGGTTCATAATAATAAATTCAATCATAAGTCATATTTAACATTTAATAAACCATTATTAACAGCTGGTATTAAATATTCCTAAGAACGAAAAAAGCAGTGTTTTGCATTCAAAGCATTTGTAGTTTCTATCACTTGTTAAAATCGGCTTACCAGAGGCAGAGAGGCAAAGTCGCTGAACATTGGTAGTTCGGTTCGAGGCTTGAATCCCCGGCGAAATGGGTTTGCTGCATGGTTTTTCCCCTATGTATAACGCGTATACGAGCCAGTTTTTCTTGGAAGGACCTCCACGAAGGTATTCCATTTCTTAGGCCGATAGTTCTCGAGTTCTTTGCCATAATCAAATAAACAAAACTTATTAAAATCAAATATATTTCAGTTATGCAGCGGTTGAGTTCAATAACCGGTAATTCTGTAGTAAAGTCAGTTCAATAGTAATCATTCTTATGCACTGCAAACTCTGAGGTATCAGCTTTAAACTTATTTAGTAAGATGCTAACTAACAACTGATCTAGTAATTAAAACCAAATTAATAATTAAAAATTAATGAATAAATCAAACTGTTTATTTAATTTTGAAATTTCTGTTTATTTCTTTCCGAAAAATATTTTTACAAAGTACTTGACAAAATTTCAAACATTTGCAAAGAATTATCTATTCATCTTTGTTCCCCTTTTTTCATCTGTAGAGACATTAGGTATTTTGGAAGCAGGAGAGATGAAAAATGAGGAACGCCTTTGCCGGGAAGCGAACCACGGATCTCTGAAATACGCGCCCAGCGTACAGACCACTAAACCACGAAGGCGGGAGAAATACCATATACATCAATAGTTTAACAATAATATTTTCGAGTTCATGAACTGCTGGTAGCTCTTCTAGTTCTCTTTCATTTGAAGAATTTTTAAAATTTCATCTGGTTTTCTACATTCGATTAGATTGACATATCATCACTTTCCCTTCCGAATCACTTTCATTACCTATTTCAGTTTCTGCAGCTGTTTTAACAATTTCTCCAACACTATAACCAGTTTTTTTTCAATTATGTTGTTTCGCAATATTATCGCAAAGTATTCTAAAAACGGATCTTCGTAATTTCTTTCACTAATGTATGAATCTTTAGCTATAGCTTCAATTTCTCTGAGGCTTCTTCTAAATAAAAGTCACAATTTCGAAAGGACTGCGTTTCGAGAGACACACCTTCATGCATTGGATACGTATACATGGCCTCTAGCAAAGATATTGACTTAGTTATCTACTTCGATATGCTTTCATTTTCAAAAATTCAAATTTTGTTTACGATTTCCTGACCGACATCTTTTTTAGTGTATTTGAAAGTTTTTATTTTATCTGAATCTAAAGGCTAAATAAGAGAAATTGTATTAGCAAGAAGGAATACTTAATGTACTCAGTGCGAGATATGCGAATATTTTGAATGTAAACCATTCCATTGGGAAGATTTTGAATGTGGAAATCATTGCAGATTGTTGCAATTCCACCCCCTATTTGCTGAAATTTAGTACAAGCATTCATTTAGAGTGCCTTTAAAGGATTGCTTTTATTAATATCAAGGTAAGGAAATTCTGCCTGTTTCAATTTCAGTCTGAAAAAACAGCTTTGCAAATACTATCTGACAGGGATCAGATGGGGTAGAACTACGTTTGCTGAAATCTCGGCCAAACCCGCTTTACTGAAGTACCAAATACCTGAATGATAAGTAAGCCACCTTCTTGTATAAATTAAATAGATTGATCAACAAACAGCATTGATAGGTACCCAAGAGAATATTCTGGTACTGAATAACCAGTTTTTGAGTTTATAAGTGGCGAAGGTGAGTTTAATGAACAGCAGTTTTCCTATAGATTAGTATATATTTGTATTTTCAAACAGGACTATTAAGCGCAATCAGGAGTTGATTTTACTAACCAATGAGGTTAGCTACTGTAACACACAAAACCAAAGAAATTTTTTAATTGCTTCGTATATTTTATGATGTCTATTTTCACGATGTCAGAATACTTGTCTTCCTGTTCCAAATACATTTTAGAACAGGAAGTTTTATTTGAAAAAATGACATGGCATATATATGGGTGTGTATCTGTGTAGAAGAAACTTTAGACTTTTTATCCTACAAACTCAAAAAACAATATATATGTGTGTGTATCTGTGTACAAGAAACTATAGAACTTTTTATCCTACATACTCAAAAAACAGTCTCAAATACAAAATATAAATTTAATTTTTTACACAGTATAAAAATATTACCTATACATAAAATATACAAATAAAATAATTCAATCGACACAAAAGTCAAATCCGACCATCCATGATCTTATTGTTCTACAGAGTAAGTTTATCATTACACATGATATGCTTCCAGCTACAAATTGATTTGCAAAGTGACCAAAGACATCTTCTCTTAGATTTCAACACACTATCTGGTGATTTATAAAATGCTCAGTTGACAACTGGACTAGAATAAACGCCAATAATGATAATCACATCGTTTTCTGAATGAATTCTCAATACGTTAATTTTCAGAAGCTACTAAAATCAGCGTTACATTCACTGCGCTGAATTCGAAGCTGGTCCACTGCTTGCATTTTTGTCAGATTCTTCTGTTCTTTCTATTTTCAAACAAGCATAAGGAGGCGGTGGATCATACAGGGTATGATAAGGTGGTGGTAACTCATCAGCGCCTGAAGCAATCTGATGAGCACCACCACTTGTCGAAGGCAAAGCTTCGCAACTCGAGCCGACACTGTCGTCCAGTAAGGGATTCTCGAACCTTCGCTGCTCAGAACGTCTTCTTTGATTTCGAGAAGGAGAACCTCGGTTGTAAATGCGTCTGATTCCCTCCCTATCAGCTCGCACAACAAACGCCACAAGAAGAAACATCATAAGCGGCAAGAACACAGATAAGATGGCAAATACGGCAAGCCTGGGTTTACATCGGGAACGTATTGTAAAAGTAGAACGCCCAGCGTTATGCTCATCAGGAATCCACACAAGGGCACGGTCACTTGAACCGAATCCTAAACCTGCAGAAGAATAATAATTTCAATAATTCAAACAGCATTACAGGTTGTTGCACATATTTATGTATTAAAGATAAGTATCCAAGAAATAGCCTTTTTTTAGACAAATGGTCTACTGTTAATTTACAAAATAATTATGCTAGAAAAAAATGGTCATCTCTTTTAAAATATCTAGGAACAATGATGAGCATCAATAACTAAATTGATAGCATAGATAAGTATGAGGAATATAGAGATAATAAATAATTTAATTAATGAGTAAAAGGCTTTTCTATAGTGAAGTATTATATATTATCAGCAGAAATGAACTCATTACAAATATGTTATGTTTAATGATAAGACATAAAACCACACAAACAGTGCCAAAGTAACAGCTCTTTTATACATGTAATACTGCAACAACAGCAAATTATAATTCATCCACCGAACGCTCTGATTGGTGTTCTGCGTTGTTTTGGTATTGAAGCATTAAGGAAAACAGCAGACAGTGTTTGACATGATCATACTACCCTTGGGAACCAGAAGGTAATATTAAAACTTAAAGGTTAGCTCCCCAAGATAGCAATGCTGTTTATCTCAATAAAAATGAACTAAACGCATACAAATACATATTTTTACACGACAATAAAGAGAAATAGAAATGATAAAAAATTTATTAACGATGGTCAAAACTCATTTTGATTCTGATGTTCGCATTAATAACACTGTTTTAAAATTGTTCGGAAAAGATTCCCTTCCAAGACTTTCTAATGCACTCTGATGTTCACAGTTTCCATCAAAACCCTCAGACAACTAATAGTTCGGAAGGAAATACATTCCTATCTCATAATGAAGAAAATATTTCATTATAAAAATGTGGTCAAAAAGAAGACATTCTTTTATAGCGGCTTGGAGCTATCACTTTGATATCGATGCCAAGAGAAGTATATTTTGATTCACCTGCTAAAAGCACATGTTTATAGTTATTTGAAACGAATAAGCATGCTATTTTGCCATATACGCCTCTTAATAATAATAATATACACATTTCCACATTCATTAAACACGATTGATTAATTTTTTCAACCGAAAATAATGAGAAAATAAACTGCCAGTAAAATCTTCTGACTTGTAGCTTACAGAGAGCTTATGGAAAATCTTTGAAACTGCTGTTGCACAGCAAAATTATCTTCATACGGCTATCAACGTTTTGATAACTAGACTGGCTAAAGCGTGGAGTTCATTTTCTGAATCTAATGACTGCTTTACCAACAGCATGAAGTCGCATTCACTATATTGTATGAAGTAGGAGAGATCACATTCTCCTTTATATCCAAAGTCTGCATTTTTTCGAGGTATTCAATGTTTTTCTAATATCTTGCTATTAAATATTATTTATTTCCGTTACTTCATACATTTGTATTTATGCGTTATGTATTATCTCAAATAAATTAATTCAATTTTATTTAACAGCTTTTGTGAGATCAGTATTTCTGATACTAATACATAAAGTTTTTACTAAAATTTGAAATAACAATGCTAAAAAAGCTAATTTCAATTTTTATTACATATTTTTCAGTTATGCATTTTGTTTTTGTCCAACAACTTAAATTTAACTATTTTTATTTTGTTTACTGGAAATCACTGATTATTCTTTACACGTGAAAAACAACATATCAGGTTACATTCATGAAATAAAAATAAAAGTATTGCAAAAGCAATAAGTTAATTGAACTTAAAAAGAATTTTAGAAAATTCGGAGCAAAATAAGTAATTAAATATTTCAACATTTAAAATAGGTATTTAATCAAAGAAAATTCTTACTAATTTTAATGAGAATATGCTAGCTTGTATTTCAATGTTTTCATTCCAGATTATCAGCCATGTAATACAGTAAGTTATTTGGCTTTAAATCAAGCGATTTTCATTACAAGTAGTTCGAAAATATTGACTAATTCAACAAACAAGCAGCGGTATTCCACTCACATTTCTGAAATTTTTTTAATGGTGAAGTTTAAAAAAATTAAACTAGCTATCAGACTGATATGTATCGAGATAAATACGTTTGGTTTCAAATTCATAAAAATTCAGATGTCCCCAAGACTGTCGTAACAAAATTTCATTTCCTATACTTACATCGCTTGTTTACTGATTATTTCTTAACAATGAAGCGTTCATTTTTCTTTCATGTCGATATCTATTGTTACGACTAACTGTTTTTCTTGCAAGAACAATATGTTTTCTTCGCATTTGGAGATATCGTGTCTTGGCTCCGGTCTTGGCGCATGTTGGCTATAACGCCACTCACGTAAACTACGCACATGCAGTTTTGTTTTCACTAAAGCGGCAGGCTAAACATTTAGTCAGTTCAATAAATTGTTAAAGTTCATAAATGTTTACGTTCATCATCGCAAAACACAACGCATCCGCACACACAGCAATAAATATCATTTTAGCGACTATTACTCTTCTTTCTCACTTCATAAGACAGTAACTGATCCGATTTACCTATAGTGCAAGCTGTGGACAAGCTACACATGTCGAAGGCTTGACCGGACCTGTGGACAACATAACGGGATCTATCCAATAAGATTTGGAGACCAACGTTGTTTGTTGTCTTGCCGTTGGTGTTCAAGACAGCTATCATATAATAATCAGAAGCTGTAATATTCACTTTTATCGGATGCAATGCAACTGATGCCGAACATCCAAGAGAAAATTCGCCAAGGAAGCTGGTTTCAACAATATGATATCTAGGAGAAAAAGAAGAAATGCTAAGTTATTTGACATTGTGATCTAATATACTATTATTGTATTAAAAAACTGTATAAAGGCAATAAGGATTATGTAATATCCTTAGAACCATTATTAGTTTTACAAGCTTATTTTTCTGCGCTTACACACTAGCAAAATGTTTAATAAAATTAAAAGAAAAAAATGAATAATTTAACTTAATAACAAAGAAATGTATAAAATAATGAAATAATGACTTCGCGTTGCATCAATATGCTTTGTATAAAAATATTTCTTTCAAAGTAATGAAAAAAAATCTATGTCCCAAAACTAAAAGGTTTACGCATATCTATTTTACTCAAGCATACTTGTTTTATTCAAATGTAAGGAAATACGCAACTGGTTGGTCAAAATTATTTTGATAGTATCAAAAAAGATATTTTTTTCCGCTATTTGTGTACTAATACAACGTCGAAAGTTTTGTATTTAATGAAACTGTCAGTTTCAATATCTTACTTAATTTTTTATTGTAGAAGGTACAGTTTTTAGTGTACTGTAACGTAATTAAATAATCGAAAATTTGTGTATAATTGATATTCAAATAACAGCTGATACTTAAGAAGAAAAAACGATAAAACTGCAACGCTACTGTGACAAACAAGATTTCACATTTATATAATACCAGCCAGAAACGGAAATTTTAAGCAAAATGAGATCGTGTCAAGGCATGAATAGTGCGTATTGACTTATTGTGAAGTTAGCATTAACTCCTAAAAGTACTTTTACATCACGTCAAGAGGCTATTAATAAAAGTGCAACTGAAAATTCAGTTTATTTTCAGAAAAGATACAGGGAATATAGTTTTATACAAAATGAATCAACATCTTCTAAAATTGCGATATCCAAAAAGCGATTGAATTAGGCTTGCAGATCCGTATTCTTTTGGAGACAAATTCTCAAGCGTTATACATATAGTTTAGACGAATCGCATAGCTGAATACAAATAAAAATCTGTCAACTATTATAAAAAATAACACTGAATTTGCTAGCATTTGGTGAGTTAAGGGAAAAGAAATGGAAATTTCAAAATACCAAAGCTTTGCCAATTCCAGGAAATTGTTGCTTAGCAAATTATGTCACATTTAGAATGGCCCGCCTGAAGCCCAGAGGTCCAACGAATTAGAAAATATATGATGGGAGAAACGAACTTATTTATTATTGTACATAGCAGTAAAAAACATTACCACTCTATTCAAAAATTAAGTTAGACGTTGAAACACCATGAAACGCCTTACTGGCAGAAATTCAACAAAATTTTGTTTTGTTTATGAAAATGTGTTTATTTTTAGGAATTACATATCACGAGAAGTATATTCATGCATAATTATTTTGCCTACCTTCCCGCAATGTTTTCTATAAATACCTAAAATTAGGGATATTTGACTTCATCTGATGGACAAATTTTTCCAAAATGATATTAAATCAATGATATTTTCCAATTGTGCTTAGACTTTTGAGATAGAATGCACTTGTTCTCTTTCTCATACTATTAAACCTTCTACGCACGCAAAGAAAACAAAAGTACACTGAAAAAGAACTGAGGAGTTAACTGCCAAAGCGTACGAGGCGATAACCCATTTTTATACAAGATTCCGCATATTGATAAAGCTGAAAAGAATACATCTTTATTTAGAAATGTTTAAAGGATGTAATAAAAATATACTTATAATTATGCATTCCCCTTCCCACATTTTACAAGTAATATTGTAAGCCTAAATTTTAAGCTTTGTACAAGCCGTATACTACATTGTAAGCCTAAATGTACATACATTTAATAATGGTTTTAAATATTTGTATGTATGTCATACGTCTCAAATAAGTGATATTTGCAGAATACTTGAAAATCTACAAACATATGACTAGGAGTTCATAAAGTATTCTCCTTAAATGATACACACTTCAAATCGTTGGCAAAAATGTCGAAATATTCTTATGAATTCCTTTTCAGAAAATAAATAATTTTTTACTGCATTACCCTAACTTATTACAGTATGATAAAGAGAGTAGTAAAAAATTAACAAAAAGAGAGAAGAATGTTTAAAATAATGTCTTACATTAATAATGAAGAACACCTGTTGCTTTTCCAATGTCTAACTGCTTCCAATGGTTTGGATAAAATACTATATAGGTCTTGATAATCGAAACTGTCATCTTCTTCAGAGCTTTCGTCTGAATCATTCATACTAGAGGAATCGCGTTCTTTATTCATTATACTTTCCAGGCAAGAATCGATATCCTTGTCACCCTGTTTACAAATCAGTGGATCAGAAAAAAACACAAGAATGAGTCATTATTTATCTATAAAAGGACACATAATTTGAGAATGGCTTGGATATATACTGAAACAAATTTTCTCATACTATTTCACAATCTATTCTCTAAGATACTGCTTTCAAATATTCTGTTGTCTTTGTCATTCGCATATGCAGAAATTTTTTTATCAGAAGTATGTTATTAATTTTTAATTAAATTTTAAACAAAGTAAAGTTTACAAAAGCATTCATTTTTAAACTAGAAATGAAATTAATTAATATAATGTTGATGATGCTGATAACAATCTAATGTGAATTAATGGCATTAATATTTTCAGTTAATCCAATTACGTATAAATTAATAGATGCATATAGATGATGAAAAGATGACATTCATGAATTTGAATAGCAAACATAATAATTTTGGCTAACACTGTTCACTCACATGGCATCCGGTAGATACAAGGAGTCTAAAGGTAATTTTAGTAAGCTTATAAGGTATTTCTCCCGCTTTCTTAGTGAGCCTTTGTGGTGTAGTGGTATGTACGCTCAGCGCGTAATTGAGAGGTCCGCGGTTCGATTCCCGGCGAAGGCGTTGCATATTTCTCACCTTTCCTGCTTCCAAAAAAATACATAATATCTCTACAAGCTATGCTATTAAAATCTATGTGCATCTGTTTGTTTGTTAGTGGCACTATCTCCTCCGGAACAGCGAAGTGTTAAATTTCAAGAGAGGTACCCCCTCCGGATTTAAAAAATTCGTGGGAAGCCATGTCGACCATTCGAATCTTCGTACGTCTCTCATCACTACCTCGCTGACGTTTATTTCTCCATTTATCGCTGCCCCATAATCGCTCCACAATTTGGTTAAGGCATTCAGTTTCGGGGTCTACAAAATTGTTACTGTGATTCACAATGAAATGTTCATACCCAGAATTTTTTAATTCCTCTTTCTTGTATCCTTTCCATTAGTCTGAAAAATATAACGCTGCCATCCGCGATGTTTTCCTGAGTGGCTGTCATCAATGTTGTAGCAAAACAATCGGGAACGGTGACCAGAAAACTTGCTTTGCTTTCCCGGCATAAACCCCCGAATATCTATTGTTCCGGAAGAACACGTCCAAAGTTGTTTTTCTCTTTTTGTGAAAAGACTTTAATGTAGTTATTCCAATCTACTGTCGATTTCTAACTGAAGTTGGCAAAATTCAATCGACGTCAATCCTTGACACCACATATAGTAAAACGAACGGCATTGAGGGAAGAAAGCAGCGATCCCTTCAAACCATCTTTTGGCTCTCAATCCTTTGTTATTCACAGCAAGAACGTACGTAACAACGCCATATAGGAGCTTTGTTTGAGTCAAAAGTTAACTTCATCGGATAATTTTGAGAACAAAGTCTATTGCTACGAATTTTTTCTTTGTCTTGAAAGAACCTTATGGCAGCCTCTTTGTCCTTAGGTAATTGTGAAATTGTGTAATCTGTCGTATTAAAAAATGGCACAAAAATAAACGAGTGATGATATTTCAAACGAAGCCTAGAAATTTCGAACCACGATACTTCAAACATAAATAAAAAATACTCAAAATAACGAGTGACAATATTTTACGAACACTAGAAATACTTAGCCACTAGGCACTGTCAGGGCCAATAAAGTGTATAGAGAACACCACTCGGACAAAGAGCTAAAAAGAACAGTTACAGTCATAAGCCAGGAAAATGTCGTCGCATTTCTGATTTCGGGACATATGCCCTTTATACTAAGCTCTCTGCGTATTGCCCACCGTCAATGTTGCTTGATGAAATAGTAAGGGAAATCAATAAGTTCATGAAAGTATGAGAAGACATGCCTATCACACTCTCGGGTTTCTCCAACGCGTACATGAGGGGAGTGGATACAAGTATGCGGATTTATGGCTGCATCGGGCTTAACTGTTTGCATTGAACCAAAGAGTTTCGCAACATACACATCAAATCGACGGAAATCGTTTGTAGATCATACCCCAAGTAAACGCTGAAGAAATATGAGAATTGAAAACTGAATACTGGAGGACAGAACGAGTTTGAAAGACCACAGATTCATTACCTATGAACTCACAAATGTCTTCTTCTCAAAAAGACGGGTAAAGAGACAAAATTTGAAAAGATCAAATTAGATAGACCTGGAAAAGATCAAATTAGATCAACCTGCGAACATGACTATTTGAAGGCTTTCTATGAAACGGTAGCCTAAACAGCAAAGATTGACAGTGTCATTAAGAAAGCAACGTCGCATCAAACCTATGAGGACAAGAAAAAGTCACCAAAAGAAAATAAGATTTATCCCAAGTCGAATTAATCCTAAGTAGGTTTATTCCAAGCACAGAACTCAAAACTCTCAGAACGGAGGAAAAACGTATGAGATGCAGACGAAGATACTAGAGTCTAATGTAGGACAAAGATGAAAGAAGGTAGTACAAACAGAGCTATACAAGAGAAAAGGCTCTCTACAAGCACAATATTTATAGCAGAAAAATCGTAAGATGATATGACAGAAAGTATAGTTCATACCAAGAACAGAATATGATTTCAATTTTAAAAGAAAAGAGATCCAAGAAAGTAATAGGAACATCCAAGAAAGAGCGAGTATCAGATCTTGATAAAATAACTGTAGTCATTGTACAAAAACTGTATTTACCATACAGCGATATTCCTGAAAAAATAACGATTAATGCTCTCATTCATCTTTTGGAGATCATGAAAAGCATTCTCCACAGAAACTGGCATACTAGCGTAACCGCTCTAGGTATAAAATCGACTTGCAATAATTTGTAGTAGCCGTGACTTTTGGCCACACAATATAGACTTAAAAATGTCCGAAAAATATCTTCGAACTTTTAAATAACTATATAAATTACAGGCAAAATATTATAGAAAAATTCATTGAACATTATTATTATGATTAAGTTATTAAGCTTTTACACTTTTTATCATTTTGATGCTATATTTTTAAAATCAGTTTAACCCGGTCTGTAGGGTTTCAAAATTTACATACATTTTTTTTTGCACATGTTAGATTGCTTGTATTTGCAGGTTTTGTATTTTGAACTCAGTCTGCTCAAAATAGTTTTTAGATTTTGTATTTTTTAATATTTTTAAAAATTTATTTATGCTTCTTATGCTATAATTTTGCAACTGTTTGCTTCGGTCCGTAAAGGTTTGACTGATAAAGACACAGATGATTTTGATTGTTTTTCTGGAATTATTTTAAGTTTTTACTTTAATTTGTGTCTTTATTGATTCAGAAACAGACTGATTTATTTACTTCTTTTGTTGAACTAACCTCCTGATGATTATGCAACGAAAGATGTCAATTTCTCAATTCATTTCTCGTTTTGGCATGCTTTGCCCCTTTTTCTCGCAGTTTCCCACTGTGGTTCTCATATCTGATTTTTGCATATGTTTATTCCTGAATGAATATGGGATGAATTTTAAACGGACTATTTTTTAGTTCGTATTTTTCATGAATATATATGTAATATTTTGGTAGGCACAGGAATGGTATTAGGCAGGCACAGGAATGACAAAGTTTGATTGCATAACTACATCAGAGTTCGGGCATTATTGTGGCTGAGTAGAAGACAGCAAGATAAAATACTGTAAAATATTTTGGTAAGCAGGTACAGGAATGACAAAGCTTGACGATATAACTACATCAGAGTTCGGGTATTGTTGTGGCTGAGCAGAAGGCGGCACAGTGATGACAAAGAAAGCTCTAGCTTTTAAGGTTCCACATCTTTATTCAATTCTCATCGCAGATCATTTTTCCTATTCTCCAAATTACATATTTAATAGTAACTTAAACTAAGTAAGATTAAATTTAGAATTTCTACGTCATAACTGTTCTAACAAAGGGAAGACAGATGGGAAGAGCAGCAGTAAAGTCTGGTAGCAGCAGGAAGAGAAAGCAGTTTGACGAAAAATGGAGCGTTCTCTGTATTTATACTAGCGGTTATATAACATACAGAATGTTCTCGAAAGTATTGGTCTAGGGTAAGATCCTAAAATTGCGGAAAGTTAATTATAGGTTGCCCGTTCGCGCAGAGCAAAGCCATCGTATTTTTTATATTTTATATACACACACACACACACACACACACATATATATATATATATAAATTTGGATGTAAAAATGTGATTTTAATTTTAGCCTCTTAAACAGCGTTAAGATGTTGGCAGGGTTAAGAAAAGAAGTGACGTAGTTGCTTGCGAAGCAGTATTTATACTACGTAGGTGCATATGTAAACCTAAGCTACAGTTGGTTAAGTTTAGGTTTTAGTTCCTTTTTTCAAGCAGTGTTATGTAATTTAGAAAGATTTAGAATTTGGGAGAAAGGATAAACTTAGGGAGAGAACAACAAATTTAGAGTAGTCAATTTTAAGGTCGCCAATTATTTCTTAACATAGTCAGAGTATTTTATTATATCTTACAGACACACACACATATATAAAGATGTAAAATATAAAAAATACAATGGCTTTGCTCTACGCGAACAGGCAAACTCTAATTAAGACACAATAACACGCCGAACAAATACTGATTCACTGATTGTTGTTTGACTTCTGAATTAGGCAAACTCTAATTAACTTTCCGCAATTTCAGGATCAATCTTGAATGATCTGCCATTTGCACTGAATAAAAATTTGGAGCTAAAAAGCTAAATTCTGTTTCGTCATTGTATTATACTCAGCCACAAGAATGTTCGGATTCTGATGCCCAGCTTCATCACTTATGTGCCCGACTGCCAAAATATTACATATGTGTGTGTCTGTATGTGTGTGTAAGATGAAACTGTAACTTTAATTTGTAGAGTTTTTATGTACAGTTCTACTAATTTTTCTTTCACTTTACTAATTTATATTTTAAAAGTAATTTATAGTAGAATATAGTTTAGTAATTTATATTTTAAAATTTTATTTTGTTTATTTTGCAAATTTACTTTAATAAGATATATTTTCTATATTTGCGGTAATTTTAATTCAAAGAGAGATAACTCGTAGAGGAAGCTCTTCGAGAATGTAAGACTATCAGTGAAATAATATTTCAAAACGAAAATTAATTTACAAAGGTTTAACAGTGTCGAAAGGAATGAAACATGTTGTTCAATACTCATTAATCGAGCCAGTTTAATGTTTTAAATACTTACCGCTTGAAAGGTTCTGTTTGAAACATTAAATAACGGTGATTAATTTATTATTTTCTCAATGTTCCTGTAATTATAATGATTACACCAATGTTTTAAAAAGTTTTAACATCCCATACCAAAAGCTTAGATTTCCCCTTTGACTACACTAAATATTCACTTTTAATATTATGTCATGTTAAAGGTGCTCCATACTTTTTTTCCTCAGATAAAATAATCAAAATTTCTAATCCTTTTGAATTAAATCTTGATCCATACTTATATACGTTTGTGATGTAGAGGCTGATAATACTATAAAGAAGTAGCAGTGGCTGATTTTAAGAGTACTTTATTCTCACTAATAGCAATTTGTAGCAAATACAGATAAAAAGCCGAATTTCAAAGTTAATTTTCTTAATTACAAATATTTCTCTGTGATTATTTTCCCTTGTTTCCACATTTCTGGAAAAAAATTATCCTTTTCATTTGCAAAAGTTTTTATATTCAGTGAGGCATATAAATGCTCTATGAAAGAGAGTAAATACACTAAGATCTCACATTTTGGTTCTGTAAGAGAATTCAAACCTTTAAAGAATGAATGGATTTTCTTTTGAAAAGAAAGCCCTTCTGATGCGTCGTTTTATAGCAACAGAAATTAACTTACCTTAAAAACGAGTAAATGAGCACCAGGATACGAAGAACATGCAATTATTTCCATCACTGAAGATGGTAGAAGAAAGTATCGAAGTTTCACAGAATTGCTACTTTTGCTGGTGCCCAATTTCAACTGCAAACCAACTTTCTGTCGGCTAAGATGCTTTGGATTTATACGAGGAGCCCGACTGACCTGCATGCATATACAAAAGAAAAATTAGGTAGAAATTTCTGAAAAAATACGTTTACTGGTCATAAATATTAGCGTAAATATCTATAGACTATATAATTACCGAAGCAAGTGGCAAGAACTTTTGTAAAATAAAGGGGACGGATTAAATCAGAGATGATGCGCATCCTAATATTCTCGAATTTTTCATATGGAAATAATAACAAAAAAAAATTGTTTCACATATACTTCTCTAATTAAAGCAAGTTTTGAAATGTTTAATGAAAAATAAATTTATGAATGCAGTTTTTAAACATTTTAACTGAAGTGAAATTTAATAAATGAACTAATAATTAAACTCTTAAATTTTAACGCTTATTTTCTCAATATGATTCGAGAAAATAAACATTAAGATTTAAAAATATTTGAATAACTCTCCAAAATTTTTACTTTTCCCAGAATTGTTTTAAATTAAAGTAAATATAGAAAGGGGAAGATTTGTTAGTTAACATACACAAAACATCTAATTAATACTTCATTTTTCAACGAATGACGAATGCTTCTCCTGAATGCCAATAAAGCCAATCTTTCATTTTACGTTAACATGTTTTATGGCTTTCAAGTTACGATTCGAATGATGAAAAAGAAGAAAGGTTGGGGCTTTCGAATGTCGAATTGTTTTCAAGACATTCGAGGATTCAAATGTTCCATCAATAATTTATAACTTAACGCAATTTAAATTATTGTGCTAGATATTTCTTGCTGAAGAATATCAAATCATTAGGACGACGGAAAAGAGCTTCTCAAATTTTTATTATGCATGTTGTGTTATTTAAGGCAAAAGTAACATACTTGATATAATGTTACCAATACACAGCATAAAGACCTATCCTTATTAGATTATCATTTGTCACCAAATATATAAAAACGTTTAAAAGGTTAAGAATAAGGTCGGAATTTGACGACGCTTCTAGAAAGCACAAGATGCATCAAAGGGGTCTAGTGAAATTAATCGTGTTTTTAATATCTGCGAGTATATTTTTGCACGAATATAACATTCCTATTTATCGATTATTAGTAATATTCGTGTTTACACAATTATGATTTCTCTGATAATTTGACAAAAATGGATTAAGAGTTTCGGTTAATGGGCTGGTTGTCATTATACTACTTTACCTTTTGTATCAAATATAAAATTAATATTTTAAGAGATTTCAGTTTTAATTATTTGCAGTTTTGATGAAAATGCAAACGTATTGATCTTTTAGTTATCAGAAGAAAAGTACGCTAAAGTATGCTAAAGTAAAGAGAAGTATGCCAAATACAATGTTGTTACTTTGGTAACTTAGTTATTTTTACAGTGTTTTTCGTAAGTACCTTCTTTTTATGCCAGACAAAATAAAAGTAGCAGAAATTTTTAATTGAAATTTTAGAAAAATTAAAGATAAGAAAAAAATTAAATAGTAAATTAAGAATTTGTTTAGAAGATTTCCCCACTAAAATCAATATTAAGTATAAATGCCATCTTTGTTCCAATATCCTCTGGCAGTAGCTTAGAATGCCGATACGCAATTTTAGATAATATTACAGTTTTATTGTATGACACTCTTTGGAGATACCAATCAACAAGTCACAATGAAATGGCAATTTTGGCAGCAAGATGTCATTTAGACAATATTACAGGATTTATCACAGGAATCGCTTCCAAAATAGATATACTTGCCCGTAGTTCATAATGAAATGGAAATTTTGATTGATTTTCTGCCTTATCTTGTATGGTAATTGCCCTAAAATACTGTTCAACGGAAATGAGCAAGCAAACTAAAAACTAATCGATAAGTTAGAAAATATGTCATTTCTAATTTTTGCTTTAAATAAATATTTCTTAGTTGTCTCTTTATTCAAAAGAGAAAGAGTTTTTTCTAATGTAGAGCAGGACTCATAAATACTCCCGCCGAGATTCGAACCAGGGTTCCTTCGACTGCTAAGTGGACGTAGTAATATCTGCACGAAGGCAGCACGCGCGAGAGAAGTCTCTTCTCTCCAACTTCCCTTCTTTTCTCCTTATCTTCTCTCCAACGTAAGAAATGACTGGGAAAGGCATCAGGAACAGATTAAATGTAGGTGGTAACATGCTAGCATCCCCTACGTTATAAATCGGATGCCACTGTCGAGTCTTTTAGAATATTTGAAGGGAGAAGAGTGAGAGAGCAATTCTGCCTTCATTGAAATTCGAACCACGAATTTTCCAACTGCTAACTGTACATGCTAACTATATACGCGTCATAAGCACGTACGGGAAAATGCGACAATTCTTCATAATTGCTCGTGATTTGTGTTTAAAAAAACGCACTTGCGAAATCTGTGTTCCGGTGTTAAATTTTAAGCACCTATGTTCATTGATGAATTATGTCAATTAAAACTGCCATAGTACTAAACGATTCTCTGAAAGTGAATAATCTTTCAATATAAATTATTAAAAAACTTCACATGGTTTTAATTAAATGCACTAAAAAGTAAAAGTTGATCATCCTAATATTTTTTTTATCTTACACGATTATAAACAAAATCGAGAAACGAGGAAAATATAAGTGAATCCAACGCAATCATTTTTGAATATATATTTTCTATACTATCTTTTTTGTTGTTACTTTAAGCCCTGTTAATATATAATAATAAAGAAAGAAAACTTCTGAAAGCAAGAACATTACTTCTTCTAATCAGTGTAGCAACGAAATATGTGTGACATCATCTCCCCACCTTCAATGTCTTCCGATCTATCTGATCGCGTCAAGATTGTAATAAATTCCTTTTAATTTCTGTTTGATTTAGATAACCCATCTGTCATCACTTAAAATCGGGCAGTTACTGACAATGAAAGATTAAATATTTTGAATTAATAACCATTACTGTTACCAGCCGCATAAGAGCTAAAAACGAAAATAAATTTTGAAAACTCGCCAGAAGTCTGTAAGTTATATTAGAAATTCCAAAGGAATTTTAGTTGCAAGATTACATTTTGATCTAGGATGACGTAAAAATCAAAATTTTGGGGCAGCTAATTTTATCGTTAAACAAGAATATGTGAGAAAGATTCAAGACAAAATTGAAAAACAAAATCTATACAGAATTTTGAAAAAAAAAAGTTGTAAAACATTGCACTATCATCACACATATATGTAACTATGAGCAAAAAGAATAAAAAAATTTTAGGTTTTTGGAAATTTAAGAAAACGTCTACTAAACGTTTTAAATTTATGATTAATATACATTGTTTAGATCCCATTGATATGATTTATTCGTCTCTGAGTATTAGATCACTGATTATCTTCGTGTCAAATTGTTTTTCTTTAAACTATCTCAAAAATACACCAACTCCCACCAAGAAAGGACACTTGCTCATTTAGAATAAACTAAAACTTACTCTTTATTAAGTTGCAATACATTTCTTTTTAAGAAAAATATTAATTCTGTTTTCAGTTTGGCATGCAGCAGACTAAGTTCTGATATTTCCTTAACTACTTTGTCTTATTTGTATACGTAGTGGAACTTACTGAACTATGTAGGACTTATCGCTAAGTCCAAAGTAAGTAAACGACAAAGTCCAGAGAAGGTTTAAAATACCCTTTTATTAAGTCAAAAAAATAATGACAGTCCATCACTTCTCGGACTTACAGGAAAGTCTCCACTTGGGCTTAAAAAATTAAAATAGAAAATAAGAACCTAATCTAGAGCTAAACTAAACTGACTTAGTCAAAGCTATGCACAATTATGTACGTCAGTTGACCTTGATTAAATTAACCGGCGAATATCAGAATGCACGTACAATGAGGCCAAGCGTAGTGAACTTAACAACGAAGTACACGTGTCACACGCCAACACATACCACTAAAAGCGCCATCAGGCGGCACTAAAGACTCCTAAGCTCTTTTTGGTGAAGTAATCGCAATTTCCTTTATATACTCTTTCTATCTCATTTACATGCAGCGCGCTACTAAAACTCATTCTGGTAGGGGGTTGTAAGTGGGAAACAATAATTTAAAGGAAAGGGCTTCAGTATTAAAAATAACTGTTAGAAAATTAAAATAACCCTTACAACATTATAAAAAGCATCTTGCACAATTCTCCGAAGTTTCTTAAAACTGACGGATGATGGTATATTATTTTATCTTTTAGTTCGCGTCTTAAGGACCCAAATGTATTTAGATCCGGCGAGTGAGAAGGACCATGGCATAATATCAGTCCTGTTTACCTCCAATGAGGTTTCTTGTTATCTTTGCCGAATGTTACGGATTGTCTTACTGAGAGCTTCATCTGAGTGCCAGATTTTGTCCTGCAGATGGTAACACTGTATTCTCTAAAATATCCATATATACATCTTTGATCATTACATCATGTAAAGTAGCTCCCAAAAGTGTTCGTACATTTACGAGTTTTAGTAAAATATTGTTTTATTCATTAACAAAAATTAATATATTAGAATGAGAATTTTTTAATGATATCTATAATTTCTTTCAACAAAACGACACTAATTATTTTATACTTCTTTGTTTTTGGAAAATTAATAATAAAAATGTAATGCAAAAGTTACCTCACAAAAGACTTCGAATGCTTTAAAGAAATTCGTACATATTAGTAAATATTGTCGTATTTCTGCCAGTCAGCATTTTGCAGTATATCCTACAGCATTTATGACAGCTTTAAAACGTCTGAGTATAGAGTTCACCAACTTTTTCTTTGAAATTACCTGCATCAATGTTCCTCCTTCTTCCATCATTACTGCTTTTACTTAAGTTTTTGTTTTAATGCTGTGCCTTTGTACTCTAACCTCTTAATCCCTTCAAATGGGATTAAGTCTAAAACATCTAAATAAATTCTAAATAAATAAATGGAAAATTGGTTCATATCAGGTTAAAATTGCATTTTTAACCTGATATGTCTGAACGAAATAATATAGCTATATATGTTAAATTAGTACAAAATTATAGCAAGATAGTACGCTAGTAATCTTTTTTTACATAAAT